TCCTTTTCCTGGTACGCCCCACTGAGTTGCTCCACCATGAGCTTCGAGTCGCTGTTGCAACTCACTCTTCGAGCTCCGAGGTCGTGGGCTAGCCTTAGTCCTGCGAGGAGTGCCTCGTATTCTGCCTGGTTGTTGGTCACCTTGAAGCTGAACTTGAGGGACTGCTCCAAGGTGACTCGGTTTGGCCCTTCCAAAATGATACCTGCACCACCACCTTTAGAGTTGGAGGACCCGTCAACGTGTAAAGTCCATACCTGAGGTTCCTCGGCGGTAATAGGCGTGAGCTCGGCTACGAAGTCAGCTAGGCATTGGGCTTTCAGAGGTCCGTGACTTTCGTACTGGATGCCGAACTCTGACAATTCTATTGACCACGTAATCATCCGTCCGGCGAGCTCGGGCTTTCGCAGAATTTGCTTGATGGGGTAGTCAGTTTTGACTACCGCCTAGTGACTTTGGAAGTAGGGTCAGAGACGCCGAGCTGCAGTGACAAGTGCTAGTGCCAGTTTCTCGATCATTTGGTACCGCTTCTCCGCGTCTTGGAGGACTCGGCTGATGAAGTAGATCGACGTCTGCACTTTCTGGTGCTCTTGTACAATCACAACGCTGATAGCGCTTTCCGCCACAGCCAAGTAGAGAGGGAGGTTGGTCTTGTGATCCGGCCTCTGTAGGATTGGCGGAGTCGTGACGAAGGTTTTGAAGCTTCGGAAAGCTTCTTCGCATTGATCCTTCCACTAAAAGTTTTGTGGCTTCCGAAGTAGAGTAAAGATCGGCCCTACCTTTTCCGCAAGTCTGGGGAAGAAACGGGACAGTGAGACCAACCGTCCGGCTAGGCGTTGGACCTCCTTCACCATTTGTGGACTTTGCATCTGGATGATTGCCTTGCACTTCTCGGGATTGGCCTCAATTCCTCTGCTTGTGATCATGAAACCGAGGAACTTTCCTCCCTGGACGCCGAAGATGCACTTCTCCGGATTGAGGCGCATGTTGTGCCTCCTGATCTGGGCAAACACCTCGGCGAGGTCGGAAGCATGATCTGCTGCCGAGGTGGTCTTGACTACCATGTCGTCGACGTAGACCTCCATGTTCCGCCCGATCTGGTGGTGGAAAACCTTATCCATCAATCGTTGGTAGGTTGCCCCTGCGTTTTTGAGACTGAAAGGCATCACCCGGTAGCAATAGTTGGCGTGGTCGGTGATGAAGGACGTATGCACCTCGTCAGGTGGGTACATCATTATCTAGTTGTACTTGGAGTAGGCGTCAAGGAAACTGAGGAGGGCGTGTCCAGACTCTCCGTCTACTAGCCTGTCCATGCTTGGCAAGGGGTACGAGTCTTTTGGGCATGTCTTGGTTAAGTCGGTGTAGTCGACGCATATGCGCCACTTCCCCGAGCTCTTCTTCACCAGGACCACGTTTGCCAACCATGTGGTGTATCTGACCTCACGGATGAAGCCAGCGTTCAGTAATTTCTGTGTCTCGGTGATGATGACCTCTGCCTTTCACCGCCGACCTTCCTCTTCCTCTGGGCCACTGGCCTTGCCTCCTTATGTATCGCTAACTTGTGGCAGATGAAGTCAGCGTCTATACCTGACATGTCGGCGCTGGACCAGGCGAAGAGGTAGGCGTTCTGGAGGATCTCTGCTTTGAGCTGCTGCCACAATTCCGGGCTCAGTTGCCTGCTGATTTTTGTGCACTGCTTGGGAAGTTTCCCTATCTGGAGGTCGTCCAGCTCGTCAATGGGGGTTGGCCGCTCGTCATGTGAATCGGACCTCGGGTCGAGGTCAAAACTTTCCACGTGGGTGATGTGAGCCACGGTGGGAGGGTCCTTCTTGCTTGGCTCGTCGGACGAGGAGATCTTCAGGCTCTCGGCGTAGCACTGCCGAGCTTTCTTCTGATTCGCTTTGACTGAGATGATTTTACCGTCACTCCCCGGGAACTTCATAGTGAGGTGTGGAGTGGACACCACTGCTCCAAGCTGATTTAACGTAGGTCTCCCAATGATGATGTTATAGGAGGTGTTGGCCTCCACAAGGAGGTATCGGACCATGATTCTCCTTGTGTCCGGAGAGGTTCCGAAGGTGGTCAGCAGGTCCACGTACCCCCGAGTGTGAACTCGCTCTCCTGCAAAACCGACTAGGGGTTCTGTGTGAGGTTGGATGAGAGAGTGGGGGATGTCTAACCTGAGGAAGGTCGGCCAATACAGGACATCTGCCGAGCTCCCCTGGTCTATTAGTGTCTTGTGCACCTCCCAATTTGCCACCTCCACGGCTATGACCATGGGATCATCTTGGTTGGGACTGACGCCGGCATAGTCGTTGTCGGTGAAGGTGATCGGTGGTGAACTTTGGTGCGAAGCCGAGGTAGCGGAATGGACAGTGTTGATGTTACGCAGGTGTCTTTTCCGGGCTGAGTTGGTGGCACCTCCCCCTACAAAGCCACCTGCAATTGTATTGATAACTCCCCGTAGGGGAGCTGACCCTGTTTCTTGGCTTACCTCGGCTTGTACTGCTCCGCCGGCATGCTGCTGAGACCCAGAGGGTTGGTCCGTGCGAGCTCCTGAACCCCGGCCTCTACCTCGTCCTCGTCCACCATAGCCTCCTCGGTGACCCTGCTGTTGCTGGACATATTGGCTGAGGTGGCCCGCCTGGATAAGTTCTTCAATACGGTCCTGGAGAGAGCGACACTCCTTAGTGGTGTGACCGTGATTTCTGTGGTACCGACAATGCTTGGATTTGTCGGCATTGTTTGGGGTGTGACCTGGTGATGGCAGGGTGAGCAGGTTGTTGTTACTGGCCTCCTCCAGTATGTGTACGCGAGGTGCGTTTAGGGGAGTGTAGAAGTCATATCTTCCCCCTCTGTTTGCCCTAGCCAACTTTTTGAACTGGCTGTCGTTGTTGACTTTGATTTTGTCTTTGTGGCCCTATTTTGGCTTTACTGGTCCTTTGCCACGAACCTGGTCACGAAAAGCGGAGTGCTCCTCCATCTGGATGTAGCCCGCTACCCGGGCGCGAAGCTCGTCCATGTCATGAGGAGCCTCCCGGCATAGGCTGTCGACGAAGGGCCCAGGCTTGAGTGCCATGAGCATGGCGTGCAGGGTGACCTCGGGGTTTAGATTTCTGATCTTAACCGAGGCGGCTGCAAATCGCTCCATGAACGCCCGAAGTGGCTCGTCGTCGTTCTGCCTGAGACTGGCCAGGGCAGCCGAAGTGATATGGTGAGGTCGGCTTGTCGCATACTGCACTGTGAATCGCCTTACCAGAGTGCTGAAGCTATCGATTGACTCAACGGGAAGCTGGGTGTACCAGTTGAGTGCGGCCCCCTTGAGCGAAGTCGGAAAAACCCTACACAATATAACATCATTGTTAGTGTAGAGATTTACCTGTGTCGTGTACAGGTCGATGTGCTCATCGGGGTCCGTCGTGCCATCGTAGCGATCGAGATGGAGAGGCTTCCACCCTGAGGGAGTGGTGTCTCCATGATGCCATCCACGAAGGGATTGACGGCAGAAAGTTGCTTGACCCCCTGTGACATGTGTTGGGGCCTTGCTGACTTCATGGGCCGACTTGTTCTTCAGCGCGTGAGACCGATGCACGATAGGTCGTGGAGTCGGTGCCCTAGTTGCGGTCCGGGGTTGGGAGACCGAATGCTCTTCTTCCTCGTGGAAGTTGCTTGCTTCAGGAGGATGATTGGAGGGGCGTCGAGGTAGCTGGGCGCGAATCCGCTCGTTTTCAGCGCGTAACGCCGCCAGGTCAGCTTCGTTGGCAGTTCGCATTGCAGCTAGGTCGATTTCGTGCTGGGCACACATGTTGCGCAGATCGGCGTCGTGTTGCTACCGCATCTGTTCGACCTGGTCAATCAGTCTCCTCAATGTGGCTTCGTTTTCCATGGCAATTGAGTGATCTGCGTCCTGTGTTGCGCGTCTACTATGGCTTCTGGTGAATACCATAAGCGTGGCCGATAAGAGCTGTCTTGATCGGCCCCACGGTGGGCACCAAATGTTCTTACTGGGAATTTGTCGTAGGGATGATCTGCCAAGTAAGATGGGTGAGCCTCCTTTACTGGTACGCTGGTGCTCCAAGATGGGGGTGGTACCTGCAAAAGAGACTCCGATGCTAAAGTTAGGGTTTGTGTGAGTATAAGTCTCGTATAAGTAATGCACGTACCTTGTTGTGAATTGGGGTTGTATTGGGCCTTGGGCCTGAGATCAGTTGTGATTTAACTAGATATCGGATCTCATCTGGACCGAGATCTCCTCAAATCAATTATGATCTGGTTAAGTGACGAGCTGTGATGCCGAGCTGGGAGCTCGGCTCGCGGTACGGATAGTACAATTATCATCGATATGATTTAGCAACTAATAAGTTTTAATTTTTTGGTGACTATCACTAAATCTGTCACTACAACTTTTTTCATTTTATTTTCTCACATAAGGTAATTGGTCGCTAATTGTGAGTGATGACATTTAATCGCAAAATTCAGTTGGTAATCCATGACTTTTTTCTAGTGGCAAATTAGGGTGGAAAGAGGAGCAAGATAGAGAGAAAAAAGAAAAGTGGAGAAAGAAAGTGATAAATATCATATGTGATGAAGTGTAAGAAAGTGATATCTATATTTGTTGCTACGAATAAGAAAATTATCTTATTAATTGCAAGTTTTCCTTCCTTAATTGTCCTTCAGCTTTGTACCTTTATCTTTTAATCACTAGTCAACTAATTTTAGTTAACTAAATTTGGCTCGAAATTTGAAATAACAGCTATATCTCTTAAACAGGCCACATAAAATGTTTACTTATTATATGTTCTGTTCAACTAATTTACTCAATATTTCGCTGTTAAGTTGTTAGCTAGCTTTGTAGCTTTATCTATAATGCGGAAAGTTTCAAACTTTAAGCCTTGGATTCGATGATCTCTATATACGTGATCTAGTCTTTCATGACCCAAAAGAAAACTTTTTAATGATAATTCCAAGGGTCAAATTTTTGGTAACCCTAAATTGTTCTAAAGATGAATGATTATAAAGTTGAAGAAATTAAAGGCATTGGCACCAACATTGTCATTTGTCCTAAACCACAAAGAGTTGGGGTTTTTCCTAACATATCAACAAGGCCATTAAGATGGAAATGTTTCCAACAAGGTGAAGAGTTGAATTCTGAAGCAGGTGAAGAACTTCTAGACATCGTTTCCAAAAAGAGATATGGACAAGAAGGGGATGCAAATCAGGCAGAAGCCTTCTCGCCCCCATTTTTTATTGGCTCTCCTCCTATGAGAGTAACTAATAACCCTTTAATCCAAGATGAACAATTTGGATGTGAAAAACATACTCTTCATTCAACACCTCCAGTTTCATCATCACCAAATTTATCCTCACCATCTTCTCCCTTGAGGAAAGGAGGGTGCGTTAGAATGAAGTTTGGAATTAAATCAACTGTCGTTAGAGTAGTAGGGTTTGATTGCAACGTTCCCACTTTTGCTTAATCTTGTTACAAAGGAGTGTACAGAAAAGAACATTGATGCTTAACATCATATCATATATGCTGTAGTCGAGAGGAATATTGTTGGTATTGTATATATCTTATCGTTTTGTAACGATGATGGTACTCTTTGTTTTTTGTTCATGTGAGATTGATAATAATGATGCAAGAAAACATGGGTGTAGGAGATGAAAATTATAATAATTTATATATAAGTACACATATTGATATAGAAATTGATGCACGTGTCTTTCCTCTCATTTTCATTAATTATCTCGGTTTCTTAGCTAATAATGTTGATTAATTTTGCCTTTATTTTGTGATTGATTTTCATTTATCCTATTGAAGAAAAGAAACAATATATCTATGCATAACAATGTAAAACAAATTATTTCTCATGTGATTAGTAACACTACAAGAAAAAATGGAGTTAGCAAGGTTATTTTTTGGCATTACCCACGGTTAAAACCCCCAAAAAATGCATTCTTGCTGTTGCAATTTTCGCTGGCAAAGCATCTGTGGCAAGCTATTTACCAGTTGTTTTTGACAACCCTGGGAAATGCATTACATACCCGCGGTTTTCTAACCCTTGTTAACCACATAGTCAATATCTACGGTTTACAAAACCTATGTTAACACCATCATCATTTCCAGTTATTTTTATAACCCCTGTAATTTACCAGGGGCTTTAAACCCTTGATAACACTGTCACATTACATGTTGTTTATGCAATCCCCATAATTTGCCAGGCGTTGTAAACCCTCGTTAACACCACATTATGTTTTTATTATCTTGTTTACACTTGGAATTTATAAACCCTTGTAGCTTGTGAATGGTTTTTAACCATCATTAGCATCTCAATTGGTTGGTCAACAGGTGATACTTTCTTGAGTTCATTAACCCTTATTAATTTTAAGCTTTTCCATTGATTTTTAACCCTTGTTAATCAATTTTTAAAATAAATTATTTTTTATTTACCTTATATATTTTACCTATGTATAATATTTCAAACATTCTATATCTAGATTTTGAAATGCACAAGTTATATAAATATTAAAAAGTAAAATGAACAAACTATCCACAAATTTAATATATTAGTAAACAAATGTACATAAACAAGTCATCCAAAAAAACTCCTAACAAGCAACTTCCATAGTTTAGTAACATTTATAGTTTAGTAATATCCAAAATGACTTTTAAGAAGTAATACAAACATATCTAACAAAATATTGATTTTTCGAAAACAAAAAGGTCAACATCTCTCCTTAACAAATCTAGCCCTACTCTTTATCTTGAGAATTTGTTGGAGAATGATTAAGGACATTAATTGGTTGTGCACTTCCTTGGTCAAATACCTAAAATTGAATATAAAACTTAGTTAGAAATATAAAACATATTTTAAAATAAAACTAATTCAAATTTAAAATATTACCGGTGAAGCTTGAAATATAGGCAAGTCAGGAAGCCCTTGACCTTGATAATTTTGTGCAAAAAAAAAACATCATTGTGTCAAATCTTTTATTTTATTCCTCTTTTTCCTTATTTTGTTCTACCATTTGTGATTTCAATTTAATAACCTGTTTTAAAAAAAAAACAAATCAATACAATTATATACATAAATAGAAATGAAAATCATACCAATATTAAACGTGGCAATTTATTTGTTTTCTTCAAAACTTTAAACCACAATAAGGTTTTAATAATATAGATAGTTGACAACATGAAAAAGTCTCATAAATTCCAAAAAAAATCACCAAAGTATACCTAAAATATTACAAACTTTGTTAAAATTGACTTCAAATTAGATCTACAGTGAAAAATTCTTACTATACAAATATTGCTCTTTTAGGAATTAGAAAAAGCCAAAGCACAACTTGGGAACAACAAATTGGTGATTATCAAAGGAGAACAACCCAGTCAATGGTGTTTCTTTAGATAATATTATAAGAAGAAAGAAAAATATGAAATTAGAAAGCAAGAATTGGTAGAATGGGGCATAAAACTAATCTTTATTTTAATGAATAGCATCTAATTAGTATAAAGGAGAGACAAGACATAAAATGATATAAAATATGACTACGTACCTATTCAAGAGTAATCTCTCTTATTTAGTTAATGATAAATGATTTATACAAGTAGTTACCATTTAATATTGTATTTTTTGGGGATCTAAAGAAGATAAAACAACAATTTAAAGGAGTTAAAACCTAACATTTAAATTCTGAAGGAAATTGCAACATACTACTAACCTTATTTTGTAACTCTCTATAAGAAGGAGAAGATGAGGATATCCCACTATACAAACATACAATGTGTCCAAACACACAGGATGAGCAAGGTCCTAATCCTAATCCTTGAACACGTCCACAATGTTCTTGACTTCCTAAAGTTTGAGTTAAGGAATCTTGACTTAATATTTCTTTTTAAATGCTTCCACTCAATTCATTTCAAGTTTTTTCCTACACAAAACACAAAGAGAAATGTTAACTTAACCCCAAAAGAATATTAAGCATTTTCATCATTAATATAATTGAACTTACTCCAATTTCTTTGTCTTCGTCGTTCACAAATTCTCCATTAGCATGTTTGTGTGTCGCTATCCATATTTCTCCCTGCTAACTTTCTAGCCACACTCTTATTCCTACAAAATCCAACAAAAATAAGAATTATATTAAAAGAAAGAAAGTATTATTTCATTTTTAAAAATTGAGAAACATATGTTTACCATCTTTTTCTTCTTGCGTGCAATGATTGTGGATCCACCTATGTGGCGAATTGTTTGCTTCTTTCTATTATCTCTATTTTTCTAGGATTTTTTTCCCTAATATTTGACATAAAAGAAATTTTTAAATACAAGTAAAAAATCAAATATAAATTAAAATTTAATTTTACATTAGTTTTTTAATCTAAATGATAGTCAACAAAAGATGCCCATTGATCTTTATTTAATCCTTTTGGGACCATCGCAATCAATTGATCTTTATTACAAGTGTCATTATCCCTTTGTTGCCACAATTCTTGGCGATGCTCTCTCCAGTTTATGCTAAGTGATTTGAAGATATAAGTCACGTGAAGATCTTGCTCAAGTTCAAACTTAGCCTTCAAAGTATACGATGATTAAAGTTAGAAACAATTTGTAGCACAATTAAATATATAATGTGAGTAAAATGCATAACCACTTACTTGAATGATGTCGTTAAGTACATTTTGCTTGCAGTCTTTAGGAATCTTCTTCCAACTAGTATAACTGATGGGGATACATTAAAGTCTCTTGCAAGGTGTCTTAAGAACCTATTTATCAATGCTCCACTATCTGTAATCGCTTGGTCTTCATCATTCCATTCTACAACAACCCTTTCGTTAGAAGACAATGACTAAACATCATTCACCGTAAGTGGCTTTGTGTTCTTTATGCATTGGCCATCTAATAAATTATCAAATATGTTAAAAAAATTAATTTAATGATATATAAGTACTAAGTCCAAAAACAAATTTTTCATAAAGCCTATAGAACATAAATTAAACTTGAAAAGTTTAAATTATAAAAGAAAACATGTAGATTTAAACACAACTAACATACAAAATGTACTAATAAATACATGCACACTGAGATCTAAAATAAAAAAACTAAAAATTCTAAGTGTTTATGAAGGCCACACAACTACATAGCAAAACATTAATTTAAGTTTTCAAATTGATTTTTATGTTTTTGAGTTGTTTGGTAACAACTATAGAGAAAAAAAGCTAGAATGTTTTTACTAGAATTAAATATAAAAAAAACATGTATATTATAACAATGAATTCTATTAAACAATAATAATAGGGACATGCAAACAAGTAAATAGGCCTTTAGTAAATGACGAAGAATTCATGAAAACTCGAGTAGGACATCATAATGGACCAAGAAAACATCAGAAGGCCCAAAAACCCAAAAAGATGAATTAAGAGCTTGAAACGGGGCATTCCCAATTTGGAATAGGCTGTTCCAAAATCCTAAAATGGCCTAGAAACCCTAGGTCAAAACGGGACATTCCTAATCCATAACAGGCCATTTTGACCTAGGTTGTTATGAATTAATTTCAAATGAATAATGGACTGTTCCAATTTCAGAATGGTTCGTTCCATATTCAAAAATTACCCATAACAAACTAATCTAGAATGGCCCATTTCAGTGACCTAACTTTTCCCTAGGTTGCTTGATGCACGCTCGCTAATGGACATTTTCTTTTTGATCCTTGCTTTTGCCCAGGTTTCCTTTTTTGTTTGTGGGTTTCCTAGCGGACCTTGCCCTAATTTTGTGCAACCCCCTTGTAGTGGGTTTCCTAACGAGCTTCTTATTTTTGCAGCATTTATTTCGTGTGTGGAACATTTATTTTTGTCTAATTAAAAACCCATTGTCTTATTTTAAGTTACATGATTATTTTTTATCATGTTTCCTTGTTTTTAGTGCTTTTTAAGACCATCGTCCAAGTAATGTCCTTGTTCTAGATACACCTTGTTTATTATGGGTTGTTTGATGAGGCTTAGATTAAGAGTTCAAAAAAGGGGAAAAAATGAATATAAAGAGCAAATGGCATTAAAAGAAACTATCATTTTATATGTGCCCTTTTATTATAACTCGTGGGCCTAGGCATGCCCTGAGTTCGTGATTCATACACAAGGAAATAAATAAAAGATTGTCCCTTTAGAGAGGCCTGGTTGGTTTGATCATCAAGATTGTTCCATTACTTTCTTGGATACCGTCACTTCGAAAGATCTCATATAGAGTAGAACTACTCGACTTTTCCTTTTTCAGATTTGTTGTCGATTCATACCCTAAACCTTTTCATCTTGAATTGCCTACGTAGTCTGGCAGTTCTATTAATCCTTGGGCGTCCTTATCGAGCCCTTGTCCTGGTCAGTAGCCACTTTTGAACAAAATTTGAGCTGTCAGGTTCCTCCTTCCTCAGATCTTCTCAACATAGGGGATTTCCAATGCTTGAAAAGTAGTCTTCAAGGCTTCTC